CACTCTGTATGCATTTATCGCTGTCCACAGACGCATTTTACAAACAAGAGTAAATTTTTCAGGTCTTTAACTGCCTTTGTCCTACGTACCATTTAGGTCCGTATCTGGGTAGCAAACCACTGACGCTAGACTCGGGTGAGGAGGAGCCCTCGCGAGCGGACAGTCGCGATGAGTCCGAGTGGGAGGATTCATTCAAACAGTCCTTTCAACAGCTTGGTGAATCAGGCCTTGTGAATGAGTATGTTCGGATGTTTTCGAAGTTTGTCCTTCTTGACGTATTTAGGATTAAAATTTCTTAGGCGACCAATTTGCTATCCACCTAAACTAACTATTTATACGGAGGCCGAAGCAGAGCCATGGCCAACGCTGTCCGTAGGTCGATTGCACCGTTGATGGTCGAGAAATCATCAAGTGCAATTCCACCACGTGTGATGAAAATTCAGGAGGTCACGGCCCGCACACCGGTCATCAAGCAATTAGCGCAAAATATGGGCAAAGATATGGGAGTCGTTAATTGGCCGTAGGAGCACGTATTTCCGCGTCCTAATCCTAACTCAAACTTAACTTTGAACCCATGCTTAGCTGTTAATGGGGCCGTCATAATCGATTCGCTCACATCCCTCGCTGGTCATTCGTTCACCAACTCTTCTTAACCTTACTCCCATACCAAGTATCAACAGCACGGAAAAAGAAGAGGATGTAGTGCCACCTTTTACAAAGTATCGAAATGAAAAATGGTGTACAGGGATGTCCAAGGTCGAACTGCTATTCAACTAGTCAGATAGTATCCTTGAGTGTCGGTTGGCCTTGTTACCCATCTGACTGGCTAGGTAAACCTCCAGTCTTGTTGGGAAGTGGCGTGACTTCGACACGCGCACAAGGTTTAGGCAGATCGTTGGGTTTGGCGTGTGAATGCGTCGGTTAGGTCAGCTCTCCCTTACACAAACCTTTACCTGGAACCTAATTTCCCATGAATTAAGGGCAAGACCACCTTTTTGAGAGCGGTCCGTATTCCCATATCCTAGGGGATGTAGGTTGCGGTTAAAAGTAGGACAAGGGAATAGGTACCCTTGGAATTTATCGTAGTCAGAAGGGATGGGACGTTTATTCCTGTGTCTCCAACTTATTTCATATTAGATAGAATTCTTTAAACTGAGGTAGCAATAAAGGGGTTTGGCCTATTTGAATTACTCATTTGGCCCATTTATAAAAAACACGGCGGCCTCAGTGGGACTCGAACCCAAGCCAGCAAGGGGAGGGCTTAGTTCAACCAACGCTCTAGCCACGTGAACCACGAGGCTCCACCGGGAGCCGTAAGTTTACTCACATTTGGGTCACTTTATCCGTCCGTCGTACTGTAACGTACGAAATCCGCCAATTTTGGTATAGTAAATTGAATAAATAATTAAAATCTGCCAAACCCCTGCATTAATAAAGTGTTTCTGGTAGGCATCTGGTGGATTCTAGATTGATTGCTTAGGAAATCCTGCTTGGGCAGTCAGATTACTGGATCAGTATAGGTGGATTCCATATGTTGCAGTAGGCTAGGCGGGTACATCGACTCAAGTGTGATTAAATGCACGGCTGCGGTGGCGTCTCAATAGCTCAATCGACCATACTCAGGCCTTCGTCTTGCTG